GATAAGCAGTGAAACTAACAGAGCACTCATAATGCTTGGACTTGACCCATGGAACTAAATTTAGGTCACGCATGTCCCCCTACAGGGGTATTTTGGATGAGCAATAACAAATAATCAAAAAATGCCGCCCACATGGTGAAAAAATACGCAAGAAATAGTCTCTAGACTATTTTTGACTATTTTGGAATATCCCCCTCGCAGAGACACAGGCCCGACTTAAATCTAGATCTCACAGTGCCCCTTAGCGGCGCGCAGAGGGGGGTAGGAGGAGGGGGGAAGGCTTCTTAGAAGCACCCCTGCTTCTTAGAAGGCCCCGGCCTCACGTCTATTAGAGAAGGCCAGCACCTTCTGAGAAGCAGGGGTGCTTCTAAGAAGCCTTCCCCCCTCCTCCTGCCCCCCTCTGCGCGTGGCCGAGCTCCGCCCTGGGGCCGGGTGAGACCGGCTCGTGGCAAGGGGTCGGCTCCGTGCACCCCCGGGGAGATGGCCCCGCTCGCCCCAGGGTGCCCCGCTCCCCGCCGGCTGCCTCGGGCCCGGCGGGGGGAGAGGGGGCTGCCGGGGGGCGCCCGCTTCACCCCCGAGATCCCATGTCGGGATCAGTCAGCATCTTGCCGTCGTGTTTTTGTTGCTCGATGGTCCAGGATGGCCCTCGATGCTTCGCGCCGAGAACCAGTGCTCACGTTTGAGCGATACCAAAATCACCCCGAAATCCCACGTCGGGATGAGTCAGCATTGAACCGGGAGGGTAGGCAGTGGCAGGGAGGGTAGGGCCTAGAAAATTGTATATGCAAGCGACCTTTCATCCGATGCTTCTGTGCAGAGCCATTTCGGCTGAAGAGCCCCTGGAGGGCGAAAGCTACCTGCGCTTGGCACACGAAACACATCAGCATCCGAGCAGGCTTGATAGTCCTTTCGATCGGGGGATCAGTCAGCATTGAACCGGGCGGGCGGATCGGATCGAAACGTGTGTCGGATCGGGCCGCATCGGAGCGGGGTCGGAGTCGGCCCGGATGGGCTGCTCCAGGAGGGTGCGCGTCGCCATGCAGGCATCGGGCCGCATCGCATCGACGTCGATTCGGATCGGGTTGGGGGTAGGCCGCAGTCGATCTCGACTCGGATCGACCGATATCGATATCGATATCGATATTGAACAAATATCGGGATCGAACTGGACCCTGCATGTTGGCATGTTTCCCACATGGCCAAACAAGGAATTACCAACGGGGGGAGGGGGCGCTTCGACCACCCCGGCCCAGGAGGAGGACCCCCAAGAGGCCGCCAAGAGGATGCAAGAACCTACACTGAAGGGGCCTTGGGACACATAAATAAATACATACACAATCCAAGGATTCCCTATATGTTCTCATATTTTCTGGATGCTCGTCTTCCCCCCAGTTCCAACAATTTCCAGTCTTTTCCAGGGAATCGACGGTTGATTGTGTCTGTGTGTTTTTTCCCTTCCTGATACACAAAGGTCTCCCAAACGGTAGAACGGCACGGCAAACCAGCACGGTAGGCAAGCGAGGGCAAAACAGACAGCGCCCAGGCTTCACGCGTACGTGCTGGACGTGGAATCGCACCACTTCTCCTCCCTCGCGTTTCCCCTCATGCTGTTCTTTCCCTCCACGACCCTTCCCCCGTCCCCTTTCCTCTTCCGTCTCCCCTGTCCCTTTCCCTCCTGTGCGTCCTCATCCTCCGCATCCAACCTTCGGGGGCGCGGAAACATGGATTAGCGAGCCATGGATTTGGCGCGCGGTCGCCAAATCCATGGATCGGGGTAGGTGCCCTCCCCTGAATGCGGCCGGTGCCGCCTCGCTCGGCGGCGGAAACCCGCGATTCCCCACGGAAACGGGACCCGTCGCTGATCCACGCCCTCTTGATCCATGTTTGCGATCGCCTGAAACCTCTCCTCTTTCCCTCCTCACCCACCCTCTTCGCTCCCCGTCCGCCGTCCAGCGCAAAACCTCGGGACCCTTCCCCCGTCCCCTTTCCTCTTCCGTCTCCCCTGTCCCTTTCCCTCCCTGTGCGTCCCCATCCTCCGCATCCAACGCCTCTCCTCTCCCCTCCCAATCCAACCCTCTTCGCTCCCCCTCCCAGTTGTCCGCCGTCCAGCGCGCGCCAAAAACCTCGGGGCCCGTTTCCCCCAGGACCCCCCTCCCTCTTTCCCTCCTCCCCCGCCCTCTCTCCCTCCTCCCCCACCCTCTTTCCTTCCTCCCCCAACCCCCCTCCCCCCCGCGCCGAACCTCTCCTCGCTCCTTCCTCCCCCACCCTCTTCACCTCCCCCTCCCAGCCGTCCGCCGTCCGGCGAGCAGGGCCCGTCTCCCCCCCCGGGACACCCCCCCCTCTCCCTCTCCATCCATCTCCGGTAAATTAGAATTACCTCTCCGGCAACTTAGGTGAACTATCTCCAGCACCCCGGTAAGATCTATCTCCGGCAAAATCTAACTGGTTAAGTTTTTAGTGTAATGTTTTAACGATCCTGCCGAAATTAACGAATTCGATCTGGAGGCTCCCTCTCCACCCTCGGCGAGCCCGGGGAACCCCCGGGGCGAGGGGGGGGGGGCTCCGAGGCGCCCCGCCGGCCTGCCGGGGGAGGCCTTTGGCATCCGTAGGCTTCGCAGAGGGCGCCCGAGGCCTTCCCAGCCGAAGAGCCCCCGGCCTTCCGAGGAACGCTCCCAAGGGGGCCACATGCGCACCCTACCCCCCTGCCCCCCACGATTGCTGAGGGGGGGGGTGGGGCTCACTTCGTTCGGGAGCTCCCGAACGAAATGAAAACCCACCCTCCCCCTCAGAAATCGTGGGGGGTAGGTCGGCGCTGGACAAACCTCCCTTTAGTAGACCTCCCCTTAAAGAAAAACGGCCTGGGACCGAAACCGACGGACCTGGACCCGCGAAAATGACGGCCGCGACGACCTCTCGCGAACCGAACACGGCCAATTCCTGTGTCGACGTGTCAAGGTAGGAGGACGAATGAAATGAACCCCCCCCCCCCCCTCAGAAATCGTGGGTGACGGCGGTGGTAATACGGAGCAAGGGCGACGGCGGTGGTAACACTATGGGTGGTGGTGATGATGGGTCGCCGCGCGGGGTCGGGTGGGGGGCCACGGGCGTCCGAGGCAAGGGCCTGCGAACTCCTTCCCTCCACTTCGCACACACTTGAACAATGAAACCCTGCTGAGCTTCGGCCAGCCCCCTCAGAAATCGTGGGGGGTATGGGGCAGGGTGCGCATGTGGCCCCCGACTCCGCGTCTTCGGGGAAGGCTTCCGGCGTCCAGCGCTTCGCAGCAGGGCGCCCGAGGCCCTCCCGGCCGTCGGCAGCCCGCCCCCCTCTCGCTCCCGCGCGGGGCTCGCCGCCGAGCTGCTTGTCTTAAGTCGGGCCTGTCCCCCTACAGGGGGATTTTCTACGTAGCACCCCGCAGTTGCTGATAAGAGTGAGGGAGCGGGCGCGGGCGTTGCGGGCATCGAGGTTGCGGATTTCGTGGCCCTCACTTTCTTTGTCGCTGGCGCTCCTCCTCCTCCTCCTCCTCCTCCTCCTCCTCCACCTCCTCCTCCTCTTCCTCCTCATCCTAGTCCCTCTGCTCCTCTTCCTCCTCGTCCTTGCCCTAGTCCCCCCTCCCCCTTCCCTCCCTCCTCCCTCAGCCGCCCTCCTCCTCCTTCTCCTCCAGATGGTCGCGGATGGTCGCGGGGTCGGTCGCGGGTCGGGGCCTAGCGAAAACAAACCAGCCCGCCTTGCGCGCCGATTTGAAATTGCAACGTGCGCGGGGTGGTCGCGGTGGGTCGCGGGGTCGGTCGCGGGACGGGGGTCGTGAGCAAACGCAAAACAGCCCGCCGCAGGCGCCGAATTTGAAATTGCAACGTGCGCGGGGTGGTGGCAGATGATCACGGGTGGGTCGCGGATGGTCGCTCAGGGGTCGTGAGCAAACGCATAAACAGCCCGCCGCAGGCGCCGAATTTTGAAGTTGCAATGTGCGCGGGGTGGTCGCGGTGGGTCGCGGGTGGGTCGCGGGGTGGGTCGCGGGTCGGGGTTCGCGAGCGAATGCAAAACCGCCCGCCGCAGGCGCCGAATTTTGAAATTGCAACGTGCGCGGGGTGGATCGCGGGTGGATCGCGGGTGGGTCGCGGGGTGGGTCGCGGGTCGGTCGCAGGTGGGTCACGCAGCGGGGCGTGAAGTGGGTCGCGGGCGCTGGGTCGCGGAGTGGGTCGCGGGTGGGTCGTGGGTGGGTCGCGGGGTGGGTCGCGGGTGGGTCGTGGGGTGGGTCGTGGGGGGGGACGACGCCAAACAAACAAACACACAAACAAACAAACAAACAAACAAACAAACAAACAAACAAACAAACAACAACAACATGAATCCGCATCGCGGAATTCCACTTCAGCCACGCACCCAGGGACACTGAACGACCGTTCGGCCCCCTCACTCTGACGAAAAATAAAAATACCCCCAAAATAATAAAAAATAATCCAAAAATAGCCTGGGGACTACTTTTTGAATATGTTTCGACCTTTGGGGGGTATTTTTTGGGGGTATGTTTATTTTTCGTCGAAGATCTCCCTGTAGGGTGTAGGGGGACACGCCCGACTTAATCGTAGAAAGTTCTGGAGCTCCGCGCGGATTTCTTGGTTCTGTATCTTCGGGGGAGGCCCGAGACCTGCCCGGCCTTCGGAAGCCCGCCCGCGCTCACTCCCCGCCGGGCTCGCCGCCGATCTGAATGAAGGCGAGACGGGGGGGCCGAGGAACTCCTCGGTTTGCACGTGTCGTCCTTGCGCAGGGGCCATGCTGATCTTCTCTGTCTCGCTCCAAAGGTAACGGATGATCCCCGAAAGGGGGGGAGCGAGGGGGGGGGGTGGAGGCTTGGAAATGGGCACCAACACCAACACAGGGGGTTGCCTCCACAGGGGGAAGGTGATCCTAGCTGGCGGTGTTGGTGGTAATATTTCGGTCACCTTGAAGCCAGAATATTACCACCATCGCCAAGATCGGGATTTTCTTCCCTCGTTGGAGGCACAACGCCGATGTTGGCGTTGGTGTCAACCTCTAGGCCTCCGAGGGGGAGGGGCGGAGGCAGCACACGGACGTCGCTGCCACCCGACCTGGCAGCCCGATGAGGGCGGCGACGTGCTCGATGAAGCCCGAGCCCCATATGCCGGCCACGTCGCTGACGGTGTTCCCGATGGCGGCCGCGGCCTGCGAGGTGCCCCTCCCCCCCCCCCCGGGTGTCTCGCACTTCTCCCCCCCTTCCCCGAGGCAGGCTGGGCTGGACGAAAGCGAGGACCGGGCTTCCAGGATATTCTGGCATGTAGGACGAGACCAGGACAGGGACCAGCATCGGCACGGCTGCACCGGGGGATCTCTGAGATCCGGGCGCGCCGCGGCCTTCGGAGCGCTCCCGCTCTCCGGAACAGCAGTACCCCTACTCGCCATCGCTCGGACGTCCATGTCCCATGCATTTGTCGGTTTCGTGCGGTTTTTTTTTGCTCGATGGTCCAGGATCGTCCTCAATGGTTCTCGCCGAGAAAAATGCACACGTCCGAGCGATGCCAGGCCTATATCCAAGCTCCTGGCCCACTCCGACCACCCAGGTGGGCCCCCCGCGCGCGTCTACGGTGCGAAGGGGCACGAGGCCACGGGAAAGACAAACGCCACCCCCTCGCTCTGGAGCAGTTGCATCCCTGTCCAAATTCCCAGCCCGATGCGACCTCCTCACTGGCCTCGCGCGCGCCCACGAAGGGGCACGAGGCCGGGGGAAAGACGCGTGTCACCGAGGATGACGGCGAGGAAGGCGAGCGACGGCGGCGCCGAGGGTCGAAGGGTGGAGCTGCAGAACGGGACGCCCACCTGCCCACAGCGTCGCTCAACAGACGCGGCGCCGCGTCCGGGGGGCAGTGGGAGGGGGAAGGCCTCAAGCGGTGGGGCTTCTCAGAACCCCGTCGGCCTTCCGAGCAATGTTCTGCGTCTTCGGGGAAGGCTCATGCAACCTTTCAGAAGGCCCGAGGCCTTCCCAGCCTTCTGAGAAGGACCGCCCCCTGGGCTCGGCGCCGATCATTGAGGCCTCCTAGATGGAGACCGCGTAGATGAGGTCGGAAGATCGCGCATACATCGGCGATGCATCGGCGACGCATCGACATTGCATCGGCGTTGCATCGTCGACGTCGGCGCTGCATCGGCGACATCGCCGTGAAGCAAATCGGGCTCCGCATCGAGCAGCATCGCCGATGCATCGGCGATGCGGCACGATCCTCCGACCCATCTACTCCGACCCCATCTGGGAGGCCTAGAGTTATGTCGGGCGTGTGCCCCCTACAGGGGGATGTTCGACAAAAGAAATACCCCAGAATACTCCAAAAAGGGAAAAATACTAAAAACATAGTCCCCAGACTATTTTTGGATTTTTGTTTTGCATTTTGTGGGGTATTTTTTTCGTCGAAAATCCCCCTGTAGGGGGACAGCCCCGACATGAGCCTAGAGATCAGGGGGAGGGGCGCATCGACCCCCACAGAGGGATTCTGGCGCTCCGCGGACTTCTTGGATCTGCGCTGGACACCCCTCCCTGGCGCGCGGAGCGCGCCAGGGTGGGCGCCGGAGGCGCCGCCCTGGGGGTCACAGCGCAGATTCGAGAAGTCCGCGCGGAGCGCCAAAAGTGTATGTCCATGCAATTTGAAATCTTCATCGATCATCGCCGATGGAGGCCCGCTGGCCCACCCTGCCGCCCGGGAGCGTGCGGATCCGCTATCGAGAGTCCATCGACTAGATGTGTATCGGCGATGCGCCACCGACTCCAGGTAGATGCTCCCCCCCACCCCCCCGAGCGAGTTAGTCCTCCGCCATGTCGTTGCCCCTACGGGGGCGGGGGGTCGGAGGGGTGGAAGGGGTCGAGGGCGTCGAGGGCGTCGAGGGGGCCGAGGGGTCGAGGGGTCGAGGGGGCCGAGGGGTCGAGGGCTCGAGGGTCGAAGGGTCGAAAGGTCGAGGGGGCCGAGGGGTCGAGGGGTCGAGGGGTCGAGCCAGGGGCGTCCAGTAGGGGGCGAGGACCGACGGGGGCGACGCAGGCGAGCGATGCCCTCCCGTGTCCACGTGGACCCACACGGGGGTCCAGCGAGAAGGGGGTGGTGCAATATGACTGATGCAGTAATTTGGAGATTGCATTAGTTGCAATAGGTTGGAGGTCGGAACGGGGTGTGGCATAAAGGGGTACGGTGCCAATCGTGGACATGGCGATGCTATCTGTGACAAATGACATCGCCAGATTCGCCTTTACGTTAAATTCGCACCACACCCCTTTATACCATGACCATTTCCTACCTCCAGGAATAGGTTTGGGGTATGCAGTACGTTCCGTGGCACAGATGTATCGCTGGATGTTCGCGTGCAGTGCATCAATTGCAACACAGTGCAATACAATTCTCTGGCGCCATAAACCTGCAATGCACTTGCCCCAAATCTGTTGCACCACCCCCTTTCTGCTGGACCCCCTGTTGGGCCACGATGATGTGTTCCATACGGGCTCTACGGAGCAGTGTTCTCGTCTCGATTAGCTTTGCTCGACGGTCCTCAGGGTCTGGTGAGGATCGCTGGAGGCCGAAAACTCAGGAAACACCTCCGTCCTGATCTTCTGCTTGGGACGTTGCATGCTGGGGGGGGGACTTCACCCCTGGCCTCGCTGCCGAGACAGAGCTCCAGAACGGAGGGCCCCCCAGCCCACACCGTCGCTCCGCAGGGCCTCCGGCGGCGACTGGCCTCCCCCCCCCCCGAACTGAGGAGGCCGCTTCACGAGAGGCGGGCGAGGAGGAGGAGGAGGACCAGGAGGAAGGAGGAGGAGGACGAGGAGGAGAAGGAGGAGGAGGAGGAGGGAGGGAGGAGAACGATGAGGGGGAGGAGGAGCAGGAGGGCGACGAGGAGGAGCACGACGACGACGAGAAGGGAGAGGACGAGGAGGAGGAAAAGTGTGAACCCAAGAGTCATCAACGATGTTGGAATAAACCCTCCCTCCAAGCTCCCTCTTGACAGGACCCTACAACGGTTCATTTCCATTGGGGGAACTGCCGTGTTGGAAGACAGCTGTTTGAAGACCCTGAAGTGTGCCAAAACATGGTTCTCGGGATTCCAACGCCACGGATCAGCCTCACGGTTGCGTTTTGACGATCCAGAATCGTGCAATAACGCCTTTCTTCGGACTTCAACACCGCGAATGAACGTAACTGTTGCACCCTCAGAATCCGGAATCTTTCCAAAACACCATTCCTGGTACTTCGATCATGGGAATCCGTGAAACTCTTGCAAATTGTATTAACGAATGTGCGCGGCGTTCAGGCGGGAACCACATTTTGAAAAAGTATCGCCCTCAATCCGTGGAGCTCTTGCAAATGTTTGAGAAGAATGTGCGCAGCGCTAATTAGGGCGAGAGCCACATTTTGAAAACGGCTCGCCCTCCATCTATGGAACTGTTGTCAATGTTGAAGCCTCAAGGCCATCAATGGTGAGGAAGTCTCAGGCGACAGGCCCAGTCCGACCGTAAAAGCTGGCCTCGGGGTGCGACAGGGAGAAGTTGTGCACAAGGAAAAGGAATACAGGAGAAGGAGGAGGAGGCGGAGGAGGAGGGCGAGGAGCAGAAGGACGACGAGGAGTGGGAGCATCGAATTTGTCGCCGAGAAAGTTGCTCCTCCAACAGGGGGGCGGAGGCGAGGCGCGGCCGCGCGCGGACCCCCCCCCCGCTGCTGTGGAGCCGTGCCCCCCCGCCAGGCTCCCAGGAGCAGCGCGTCGGGGAGGATGGAGGCGGACCCCCCCTCTGAGCACGACATTGAAGGGGCGCAGGGACACACACAAAGAAAGAGACACGAATAAAAAGGATTCCCCACAAGTTCCCATCTTTGCTGTGTGTGTTGCCTTCCCGCCAAAGTCCCATATGTTCCCATCAGTTCTTGGGTGTCGACGATGAACTGTGCCTGTGAACTCTTGTTCCCCTCCTGAAAAAGAACGATATTCTTAGAACATCAACTCACAATGTTAAATCAAGACAGCCCCAACCAGGAATGTTCTCTAAGAGCAGTTCGTGGGAGCCACAGAAAAAAAGGTTCGTAAAACATTCCTTGGTGTGTTTCTAGGCGAGCCAGGACGCTTCGCCACTGCTTGACCCCCCCCACGGGTGTCCATGGTGGAGATGCCGAGGGTGCATCCCAGCTTGAAATCGATGTAGTCCCCGGCCAAGATCCGCCACCGCGCTTGCAGCGGCTGGCGTGCGTCGGGGCCGTTCGCTTTCACGAAGCAACATGGGCGGCGCCCCCAGGGAGGAAGTGAAGAGAAGGCGGCGCGGCTTCTCAGAGGCCGCCCAGCCTTCTGAGCAGTTTCCCGTGTCTTCGGGGGCGGCGTATAACATGTCTTAGAAGGCCCGAGGCCTTCCGAGCCTTCCGAGAAGGCCCGCCTCCCCCTCAATTCTCCCCCGGGCTCGCCGCCGAGCAATACGTCGGGCCCCCCGCCCCGACGCATCGAGCCCGAGATGCAAAATACTTGCGTGACTAAGTCCCTGCGACTTGGGCCCGCCAGGCAGGGCTGAACCTAAACGGTGTTTTTCGTTTTCGTTTTGGTTTCGTTTTCCTTCGCTTTTGCCTCGTATCCGCCTTTACCTCAAAACGACACCGAAACGAACACGGCCCACGGAATCGCCCAAAAACACCGTTCAGGTCCGGCCCTGCCGCCAGGCAAAGCAGCGTCCCAGCTGCAGAGCCCGGGGAAAGGGGGCCCTGTGGCCCCTCCCCCTTTCCCCCCTTCCAAACGGCCTCCTCCCCCCCCCCCGGCGCCCGCCGGAGCGCGGCGGCGGACAACGGCGGCAGCGCGACTGGATCATGATGGAATTGTCCTCGGGAGCGGCCAAGAAGTGCGAGGCCAATTTGTATACACCACCACCGCCCGCAACAGTAATTTCCCGCAACAAGGGTTAGGGGCAGGGTCATGCCAGGCGACGCTGCGACGCCACGGCGAAAAGGAGCGCGGCGCACCTCGCAGGCGCCGTGGCATGGGGAGTTCCCGAAACAGAAACAGCACTCCTTGGTGGTGGTATATAAAAAACGCTCCCCTTGGTAACCAAAATTATATACACCACCAGCGCGCGCGCTTTGATGAATTATGTTTCGGTCCTTAAAAGGGGGAGGGGGCAGCCCGGTTGCCGTTGGCGGCGGGGGGGGGCTGCGGGCTTTTCACCAGACCGAAACAGCACCAAATCGCATCGTATATTATTATCGATCTTGGTGGTGGTAATCAGATACTGTGCTCGGAAAGAGGGGGGGGTCCAAGAAGGGGGGTGCAAATCATGGCCGGCGGCACGTGCGCGGCCCAGCGGGGGGGCCAGGGACGTAATGAAATAAGAAGAGGCGCCATGAAACCTGGGGAAACATCATGGCCCCCGCCATGATATCCCCCCCCCCTAATTATCACCCCCGTCTTTTCCGCCCCCGATGTCCAGGAACCCGAACCCAACAAACGGGATAAAATGCGTCGTGGCATAGAGTCTCAGCTGGGTCATCGACGGCAGCGGGACGTCGTCGTCGGCCGACAGCCCGGCTCCGTCGCCCTCTGGGCTCTCCGCGAGCGCCCCCGCGCCGCCCAGGACCTCTGGCGGGGGCCGATCGGATCAACTGAAGGGGCCCCGGGACACTCAAATAAACAGGCACAAATAACAGGATTGTCAACATGTTCATAGTTGCCCCAACAGACCTGTGTAATTGGGTCCTCGTTTTGAAAAGACGGTCCCCGCGCCTCCTCCTCCTCCTTCTCCCTCCTCCTCCTCCTCCTCCTCCTCCCTCCTCTCATCATCATAATCATCATCACCACCATCATCACAATCACCATCATCATCATCATCATCATCATCATCATCATCATCATCATCATCATCATCGCCATCATCAGCATCAGCAGCAGCATCGTCAGCATCGTCGCCATCATCATCATCACCATCATCATCAATATCAACATCATCAACATCATCACACGTTTCGTTGTCCGATAGGGAGCTCCACCGAAGGTCCCCGTGGCGCAGTCCGCATGCGTCTCCCTCGCCCAGTACAGCGCTTCGTGGCCCCATAAGGAGCTCCACCGACGGTCCCCGTGGCGCAGTCCGCATGCATCTCCCCCACCCAATACAGGGTTTCGTGGCCCCATAAGGAGCTCCACCGAAGGCCCCCGTGGCGCAGTCCGCATGCGTCTCCCTCGCCCAATACAGCGCTTCGTGGCCCCATAGGGAACTCCACCGAAGGTCCCCGTGACGCAGTCCGCATGCGCGGCCCCCCCCCCCCGCCCAGCACAGCGTTTCGTGGCCCCATAGGGAGCTCCGCCGAAGGTCCCCGTGGCGCAGTCCGCATGCGTCTCCCCCACCCAGTACACCTCTGCCAGAGGCCGTCGGGGTTCCGCGCCTCGCTCGCCCGCCGTCGCTCTGCCCAGCGGCAAGAGCCTTGCCTGCTATCAGCCAGCCAACTAGCTCTCTTTGCTCCGCGCAGCGGACGACCCGCGCGCGTCGCTGGGACCCCTCCGGGGCGACCTGCGCGCGTCGCGGGAAATCCGCGCTGCGCTGCGCCCGCAGCCTTGGATTTTTGAGTGCGCGGGCAAAGCGGGAGTAAAAAAAAAAGGGGAGGAAGCGGGCGCGATCCTCGCGGGGGGGCGCGCCGACATTGGCGTCGCGGCTCGCGGGCGATGCCGTCGGGGAGTCCCGGGGAAGCTTCTTGCCGCGGTCGCGCCCAGCGTCACGAGTACTCAGAGGCAGTCATTCTCAAACTATTGACATTCATATACAATTACACCACGCTTTGTCATTCTCGCATTCATGCACGTAAACTCGCTCGCACGCAAATTCATTCACATTCAGACGCACTCGCGCTCAGATTCACCCGCGCTCAGTCTCCCTACGTACCCAGATCAATCGTTTTCGTTTGCGTTGTGTACCACGCCACTCTATTCGTCACACCCCTAGCACGGTTCGTTGTCTCATAGGGATCACCACCGAAAACGGGAATCGCAATTGCGGTGCTCACACCTGCATATGGTTGGGTCCTTCGTCAGGCTAATTTCTGGGTTTGTGTTTTCCCCCCCACTTCCCATATCTTCGCATCTACTCTTTGGAATCGACGATTACATGTGTCTGCGTGTTTCTCACCCTCCTGATCAACGAACGGCGAGAAGCGCTCCCAGCACCTCCCCCGACGGGCACTCTGGCCCCCGACCTGGCAGCGAGGAGCCCTCCCCGAACTCAGCCCTCCCCGACGCGGGGCAGTGCTGCACTGCCCACGAGAGACGAGGGAAGCAAGTGTCGGCGAGCCTCCAGAGCAGCGGTGCCGCTGGCGCCACCGCTGCCGGCAACGTACGCCGCCGCTGACGCTTTCGGCCGCCCCTTGGCGAAGACGCCCAGAGAACGTCGCCGCGCGCTTCGACCCCGAACACAATGTGACCGCGAAGCAAGACCGGGATGTGGAAGCGAGAGCGGCCTACGAGACTGCCCACAGCGCTTGGGTCGGGCATGTCCTCCTACAGGGGAACACGTCGGGCGACAAATCAAACATGCCCCAAAAATACTCGGACACAGTCAAACATAATGGAACATCGTCCCCAGACTAGTTCTGACTATGTTGGAATATTCCTCCCGTAGAGGGACATGCCCGACGTGACGCAGCGCCCGCGAAACGATATCGCAGCGTCGGACGCCGAGGCAAGATTAGGACGTGGAAGCGAGAGCGGCCCACGGCACTGCCCAAAGCGCCCGCGCCGAAATATCGCAGCGCCGTGCAACGAAGCAAACGGGCCAGGCCTCTCTGAAACGCACCGCTGGGCGGGACCTCCCAGGACGGAGATCGGCCCGCGGGCTCAGTGGCCCCCTGGAAACAACAAAACAATGCTTTAACGGCTCCGCTTTGCCGTGTTCTTGCCATCTGCGGCGTAGTTTGTTTTCCAATTCCGTCGCCGTTGTCTTGCCGGCTCCTGCGATGGATCCACTTCCGGAGCCGTTGTTTGCCGTTTCCGGCTGCAATCTTTTCTTCGCCGTTTCTGTGTTCAAGTGACGTATTTTCCGGAAATCGAAAAAAACACGTGGCCAGGCCATTGTGGTTCTGCTACACGACACTTGGGCGGTCTCACGCCTAATAATCCTCCTTCCCCTGCCTCCAGCATCGCGACACAAATGGGGGGGTGTCTTGCAGGAGGGCACCTTGACAGTCTGAGGCTGTCGTGGAGGACAGCCAATCGACAAGGAAACGGATGACCCCCCGAGCATGGTCTTTGGAGTTCCAGCCCATTGCCATGAGGCGTGGGATCGGACTTCCGAGGACCATGGTCGGGGTGGTGGGGGGCTTTCGCTCTCTCTCTCTCTCTCTCTCTCTCTCTCTCTCTCTCGCCCTCTCTCTCTCTCTCTCTCTCTCTCTCCCTCGCCCTGTCTTTCTTTTTTTTTTTCTCTCTCTCTCTCTCTCTCGCCCTGTTTCTCTCTAGCTCACCTTGCGCTCGCCTCGCAGAGGATCCCATCAGTGAGGGTCTCTGCAAATGGATTCATTACGATGAATTCCTTTGTCCGGAGTCTTTTAGTAAGGAGTTCGTCGGCAGGAGGAAATGGGCGGGAGGCCTAGCTGCCCTCTCACACATACTTCGACACAGGGGGGAGGCGTGACAGGAGGAACTGGTTGCGTTATCTCTATATACATCTCTCTCTCTCTCTCTCTTTCTCGCTCTCTCTCCTTCGTTTTCTCTCCAGTGGGAACTCGATGGGACGCTGCGCGAAAACTTCCCACGGGGCCATTGTTAGTACTCATTGACGAAGATGCCTGTGACAAGGGCTGGTAGGAACCATTTCGTTTAGTGAGGGTTGTCGTGTAAGGATTTCTTTCATACACATGGGTTTGCAAGGCTGCCTGCATCCAACGACACTGACGGAGAGTCCCTCTAGTGAGGGGTCCTTTTGGTAAACATTCGTCAGTACGGATGCCTACAGCAAGGAATCCTTAATACATACCCCCGTAGAGAGGAAGCCTGAGTGGGGATGTATTCGATAAGGATTCCCTGAACAAAAAAAACACTTGGACTAAATATTCATTGCTCGTGCTTCCCCTGGCACGGGTTATGTAGGACTGCTGCTTTTTTCATAAATGGGTCCAGTCGAGACGACGCGTGCAGTGGTGCACCTCTAGGGTGGATGCCTTTTCGTGGAAGCGTCCTCAATAATAATCCCTGCGGGCGTCTTCGGCGTAATACGCGCTCATTGGCAATACTGCCTTTTTGTGTTGCCATGGAGTCTTTAGTACGGTATCTTCAGTCTGGGAGCCCATCGCGTGGACGCATGCTATCAGCATCCGCACGATTGGGAGCCTTCACCGCGGCACCCGATCTCTTTGCTGACGGGTGAATGAGGACGCTTGTGGCACGGATCCCCTCGGTGAGAACCCGTGTTACAAGTAGTCGCAATTCGCGCTTGCCTTCGTGAGGGCTGTTTGAATAAGAATGCCTGTTCATCAAAGATGCTGAGTCGTGTCTCTTGTTCTGGCGCGTGTTGGCACTGCTCCTTTCAATGGAGATGCCTGGAATAAGGTGTCACACTGAGAGGAAAATTGACATGACATATCCTGCCAATTAAAAAGATAATCTCATGCATGTTGAATTATTGCGCCGTCCAATCAGGTGGTCGCCTTCTCCGTGGGATGGGCGCTGCATCGGTCGGCATGTCTTCTTTTCCTTTCCCGAGGATACTGGGGCCCAGAGCACAGCTCGCAGTCATCATCCTCGCACGCACAATAGGACAATCATATCGCGGTAATGTAGTCCAACCACTTTTTCTCGTAACACGCGGCGCGCTGGTCCAGAATGCCGAGGGTTGAGAAAAACGGCATTCCAAAACTCTTCGCCCTCGTACACGGCGTGGGCACTCAGCCAAAAAGGAGCAGCAACTGGGGGCCGCTGACCCACAGTGCTTGCGTGGATGGCCTGATGTTCTGCGCGTCTCTGAAGTCACCGCCCCTGATCTGAAGTCCGCTAGTAAGTTGCGATCTTCCTCTCCCAGGGGCCTGAACAATTTGGCGAATACTTTGCTTAAAGACGCATGGGCATCAACACCCCCGACCTCATCTGCGTCGAACCTCGTGCGCACCACTTGTTGTGGACGACGGATGCGCGCTATGCTTCTGGAGGCGTGCTGGGTAGCTTTGGTGTTGGTGGTGGGCCTCCAGCCGTCGCCCACGAGCTGTTCAACTGCATCTCGGATCCTGAAATCCTCATGCGAGCCGACTCGTAGAACTGCGCCCTGCGCGGGCGAATATCGGATAAAAGAGATATGAGATATGCGAAGTGGTAGCTTGAACGCATGCCTGACGACTAGCGCACTCCGAATCCAAGACGAGCCTGCTTCTGAAGGAAGCGGCGTGGGGTCGGCCAACAAATCTTCTGGTCCGAGTTGCGAGATGTCCGCAGCCGCCGTGCAAATTGCAGTCTGCTACCTGGCCCCCCCGATCTTCCCATGGGGGATGTCAGGCGCCATCCAAACCCGACTTCGAATTCGCACGCAGGAGCGATGCCCATGACCCCTCGGGCACGGAAAAGTCGGCCGCAGCTCGTTCACGAAGACCTCTGTGTCTTGGGCAACCGGTAAAGGTATGACCAAAAAGCAAAAGAATGGCTTGCCACGCTGTTTTTGCACGGCGCGCCGGGCCCCCTTACGCCCCGTCTCTGACTTGACCGCCCCGCTGCGAAACCAACAACAAAACGCGCGACCCGCCTCCGAGAGCGCGAACACACCCGCTTTGAAGATTTCTCGCGCGAAGAAATGCCAGGATGAACCTTCGCACTCTTGTCTGCGTCCCATCTTGAAACGTTGACTTGTTGTGGGCGCCGAGAACTACCTTGGACCCTGAGGGCACGAAGGGCCGCCTTCGAACCTGGTGACCAGGTGGGCGGCGGCGCCCACCGCATTGCCAGCGAGCGCGCCGACTGGGCTGCGCTCGCTGGGTCGGCGCGCTAGCCTGCCCTGGGCCGCGGGCGCGAGCGCGCTCGACATGAACCGATCAGATCTCTGCTTCGCGCAAGCGGCACCGAGGGCGCGCTCGCTCGATCGAGATGCGCTCCGTCTGGAAGCGGATGCTTCAAGACTGCCCCCACCTACGAGGCCGAGACAATGAGGGCGGCCGTCAACTCCGACTGCGCGCCACAACTTCTCTGCGATTTCAGCGCGCGTTTCGCGACCGTCTCGTTCAACGCCAGCGCGGGGCCAGACGCGGTTTGTCTGCGGCCTGCGCCCGCGACTAGTCCTCGGAGAAATCGCGAGCGACGGCGGCGCGGAAGGCCGCCAGCTTCGCAATGCTTGCGACCATTTCCGCGTCGCCCACGACGCCCATTTCGCTCCCGGACGCGAGGGCGCCTTGACGCCGACGACCAACGCCTCCAATGCCGCGGCCTCGGAGGCGCGCCCCGCGGGGCTCCCGGCGGGCGCGCCCTATTCGACCCAGCCGTCGAAGACTTGCTTTTGCGCGAATTGGACGCAAATGATCGCATGCGGCGCGTTGCCCGCGCTCGCCTCGAACCGCGTCAAAAGCGCGCCGTTCTCGCCGCGGCCCTGGCGCGCGATGGCGGGCGGGGGCGGCGAGTCCATTGTCTTCTCCTCGGCGGAGCTGGTCGGCCAGATGGGCGCTAATCCCCTGGGATTCGATCAGATCTCGACCTTCGGAGTTGGCAGTTGAGACTTCAGACTGGCCTTCTGGTCGCGCCGCCGCGGGCGTGGATGCGTGCGTTCGAAGACGAGGCGTCAGCGCAGCAATCGTCTCAGGCGTGGTCGGCGGCTGTCCCCGAGCATCGGCCGGCCTCTGATCGGGCGCGTCGACTTGACAAGAAGGGGCGGGTCTTGACGGCGCCCGTTCCTTGCCAGGGACGTCGGCGCATTGGATTAAGCCCGCGCCGACAAAGTCCGATCTCCCCGTGAATCTGTCGAACGGAACTCTTCATCGCATCCCCGAGCCCAGGCGCCCGGCAAATGATTCTCGCGTTGAAGTTGCCCCGCCCGATCTGCGATAACTTTCCCTTTTGCCCCTCTCAGAAGAGGGCCCCCGGATTCGCGAACTTCAAAACTGCCGACACGGTCCTCCGCCCGCGTAATGGTCTCGACGTCGTTGATGTCCTCGCTAGAGACGCTCTCGCCCGATCTCGCAGCGGCAATGGGCACCGCCCCATCGCTCCTGCGTCGGAAAAGGCCCAGCTACAGAGATAAGGGTCCCCACGGTATGTGCCCGTGTAAAAAATACATCAAGTCCTTGTTGCTTGGGTTCCTTGAGCCTTACGAAGGATGTCTTTCGTAAGGGATCTGGAGTAAGGAACGCTTTGGTAAGGAGTTCTTCGACAGGAGGGAATGCGAGGGGAGCCAGGCGGACTCCTCACGCAACCCACAACGCAAACGGAGAAAGTGGCAGGAGGAAGTGGTTGCTTCCTCTCGTTCTCTCTCTCTCTCTCTCTCTTTCTCTCCCTTTCCCCCCTCTGTTTTTGATTATCTCACTCTCTCTCTCTCTTTCTCTCTCTATGTCTCTGCCTCTGCCTCTCTCTCTCTCTCTCTCCCTCTCTCTGTTGATATATATATATATATAATTCCATCCCTTCTCTTCTCCCGTTCACATTCGCGCAGGGCCCGGCCAGCGAAACCAGCCAACGAAACGCCTATGGGACGCCATGCGAAAGTCCCAGCTGGGGCCATTGCTAGAACTCGACGGTACGAACCGTTGCAGCAAAAGGCCCTTCGTGAGCACTCCGTGTACTGCGTGATCCTCGGGAAGGACGGGTCAAGTACACATTCTTTCGTACGGATGCTTGGGTCGAGAGAACCCATGGAAAGACTACTTTTGGTGAGGAATCTTCAGCGAGAGTACCTTGGGTAAGCATTCATCAGCAAGGATGTATTCGAGCAAAGACTCCTGAGTAAAGACCCGATACGCGAATAACCCTGAATAGTAATGATGCCATTAGGAAGGATCCCCTCAGTAGGGAGGAGCAAGAGCGAGGATGGAGGAGGGAGGAGGACCAGGATGGGAGGGGAGAGGCAGGGGGAGGTGGTAGAGAGAGACGGAAAAGGGAGAGAATGTGGTGGTGGTGTTCGTGTGTGTGTGTATGTGTGTGGGTAGTGTTTGTTCTGTTGGTGGGAAGGGGACCAAAAAACACTACGAAACCTTGCTGTCCACCCCCATCATTTTTTGAATTTCTCAGTTGTTGCCCCCCCCTTCGACACACCGCACCACACCACTGGACTGGGAATGCGCGGGGCACTGTACAACACTCTGTATTTCGGACTCCCCCCCAAGCGCAACCACGGGCGGCATGGGGGGCGTTGTTGTCCAGGGTCGTTCCCTCGGGGGGAGGGGCAACAAAATTGTGTTGGCCATCTCTTCAACCTATTTTTGACTAACCTCATGCCCGTGAGAATAAACACTAGGGGATAATAAAGTTCGGGGTTCAGGGAGAGATAATTAAAGTAGCCCAGCAGACCTCAGCATAATCTCGAAGTAAGAGATGATCAAGAGGAGACCAAGCCGAGCACGTTTTGAAACATCCTTGGCGTTTAGTTTTCATAGAAATATATTCAACAATGGCTTATCTCTCATGAAAATTGTTTTTTTTGTAAGTGCTCGTGTAGGGTAGCTCATGTGCCTCAATTTCCATGGATAATCAACCCCAGAGATAAAAAAAAGTTCAGGCGAGCGTGGGGACAGAGAGAAATATAAAATAATAAGAATACAGTAGAAGAGTAATAAGAAAGAAGAGGATAATAAGAAGAAGAGGATAATAAGAAGAAGATAAAAAGAGTAATCAGTTCCAAATCTATCAATTTTAATGTACAAACGCTTTATGAAAATTGTTTTTTTTAAGTGCTCGTGTAGGGTAGCTCATGTGCTTCATTTTCAATGGACAATCAACCCCATGGATAAAAAAGTTCAGGCGAGCGTGAGGACAGATAGAAATATAAAAGAAGAAAAGGAACGTTGAATAATAATAAGAACATTGCTCGTTTCGTGTGAGTCTGCCTCCCAAAATTATTGGTTTCGCTTGACACATCCTGAAAAAGTGTGATCGCTTCGCTTGATGTTGCTATATCAACATCGCTTGATGTTGCTATCTCAACATCGCGCTTCGAGGTGATAATGAAGTTCGGCCTCAGCGCTCGCCGCCCAATTTGAATGTTGTATAGGGCGACGATAATCAACTCTAAACACTGAAGGGGGGGGGTCCTTTTATTATCATCGGCATGCGGTTATCCTTTCCCACTCCAAGCACATAGCACCACCACCGCAGCCACTTGACTGGGACTGCAGGCGCACTCTGCAGCATTCCAGCCCCTCGGACCCACCCACCCCAAGCCGCCAGCAGGGGCGGCATGCGGGGCAACCTTCCGGGGTCGCTCCCTGGGGAAGGGGGGGGCAACAAAAAAAGAAAACAAAAACTTGCTGCCCCCCCCCGATCCAACATGTTTTTCCCTCCCGCCCAACGACAGGCGCCACCGCCGCCACTGGACTGGGACTGCGGGAGCACTCTACAGCATTCTGGCCCTGGGGACCCCGCCCCACGAGCGGCTTGGGGGACACCAAACTTAGAAATCTCTGAGATCGGGCAGCCCTGCAGGACGTCTCGGGCACCGCGACCTTCTGAGCGCGCTCCGGAACGCTCGGGAACGGCTTCATCCTCGTCCCAGCCCCGTCCGGCGATCGCACCCACGTCCCAGGGCCACCTCCAGCACCCCCGGCTTCCTGGCGAGCTCCCTCGCCAAGGCCTCGTTGGCGGCGCGCAGAAAGGGGGGTTAGGGGGAAGGGGGAAGGCTTCTTTGAAGAGGCAATGTTCGTAGAACGGAAAGCCCATGTGTTAAACCAAGACGGTTTCAGCCAGAACTGTGCTAAGAACACTTCGTGCAAACCACAGGAGGTTCCTAGAACAGTGCTTCCTGGGCCTATAGGCGAGCCAGCACGACTCGCCACTGCTCAATTTTAAGAGGCCCTCCCCCCCTCCCTACCCCCCTCCGCGCGTTTGGGAGGGGCTCAATATATACACAACGCCAGCTGGTCGGCCAGGGAGCTTGGTGCATAGACACGCCCCAGCTGACTGACCTGTGGGAGGCTGGCGCGTCTACACACCGACTTCCTTCGCCGAACGCCTTGCCTCCCTGGCCGACCAAACGACGTGGCGTAAACATTTGGGTCGGGCATGCTCCCCTACAGGCGGATTTTTCACGAAAAAATGAAAGTAGTCGAAAATATTCAAAAATAGTTAAAGAATCGTCCCCAGACTATTTTGGGAGTATGTTTGGATTCCTCCTGTAGAGGGGCGTGCCCGACGTAAACGTATACATCGAGCCCCCCCTCTGCGCGTGGCTGCGCCTCGTCGGCCAGCACCCGGGTGGCCAGCCTGCGAAGCGCGGCGGCGGCCGCGGCGTCCGCCGCCTCGGCATCCGCCGCCTCGGAGTCCGCCGCGGCGGAGCCGAACGCCGCGGCGCACCGCCGCAGCGGGCCCTGCGGTTGGGTCGGGCGTGTCCTCCTACAGGTGCGTTTTTGACGACAAATCAAGCACATGCCAAACATACGCAAAAACATTCAAAACATAATGTTCAAAACACATCGTCCCCATACTATTGTTTGATTAATGTTTGAAAATTCCTCCTGTAGAGGGACATGACCGACTTATACTTCAGACGAGGGCGACGGCGGCGGCGACGCAACCACCGACGCCCTCGAGGGAGAGACGACGACGTCGTCCACGATCGACGCCGACAGGGACGCAGACGTCGTCGACGTCATCGGCTATTGGCGCAGTCGAGGGGGACGACGACGTCGTCGGCGTCGACGTCGACATCGGCGCGTCGACTGCGGTGGCGCATGGGGAAAAAACGTACCAATACTTACCGGACCTCTCCCATGAGAAGCCCGCCGTGGCGACGAGGGCTCTCCAAAATAAACAGCGGGATCGGTAGGCATCCGTCCTCTAATCGACTAAGAAATAACTACTTAAACATGCAAGTTCGGAGGTCCGCGCGGGTTTCTTGGATCCTCGTTGAAGACCCCCGTCATGGCGCCAGGGCTGTCGCAAGCAGGGTGAGGGTGTGGGTGATGCTGATGATGTTGGTAAGGATGATGATGATCCTGGTGTTGATGATGCTGATGGTGACGCTGATGCTGCTGACGGTGTGTGTGTGTAACGATGACGATGGTAATGTGTGATGATTATCATGCTGTTGATGATGATGCCGATCATGATGATGATGTTGCTGTTGATGTTGATGATGATGATGATGATGATGATGCTGATGATGATGATGATGATGATGCGTGCTGCTACTCATTATCATGATGATGGTGACGATGATGGTGATGATGTTAAGTCCCCGGAGGCGCCCCGCGACTCGCCGCAGCCGCGGCTGGCTCTGCTCGGCCCCGCCCGGCCGCGGCGCGGCGCGGCGGCGCACGGCGCCGCGGCGCCAGCGGCGCGCCGCCGCGCCCCGCCAGGCGCGCAAGCATGCGTGCCGCTACGCCCGGAGGAGGGGGAGGAGGAGGGGGAGGAGGAGGCGGAGGAGGAGGAGGAGGAGGAGGAGGAGAGGAGGAGAGGAGAGGAGGAGGAGGAGGAGGAGGAGGAGGCGGAGGCGGAGGCGGAGGAAGAGGAGGAGCGGGAGCAGGAGGAGGAGGAGGAGGAGGAGGAGGAGGAGGAGGAGGAGGCCGGGGGCGCCGCGGCGCACGGCGCGGGCCCTTCTGGGGGCGGCGCGGCGTGGCGAGCGTCGCAGCGGCGCTCTTTGGGCGGCGAGAGGCCGCCGCCGCCGCCGAGGCCGCCGCCGCCGTCGAGGCCGTCGCCGCCCTCGGCCTGCGGGGGGCCCTCGGGTGCTCTCGGGGCGCAGCTTGGGGGCGGTCTCCATCGGCTAGCCATCGCTCGGACGTCCACTCCCTGTGCTTCTTTCGGTTTCGTGCGTGGGTGTTTTCGCCAAATGACCAAGGATGCTCCTCGATGGTCCTCGCGGAAGGAAAAATACACACGTCCGAGCGATGCCAAGTCGGCTGCGCCTCGTCGCGGGCGCTCCGGGGGTGCCAGAGTCGTCCCGGGCGGCCGCCCTGCGAGCGCGGCGCGCGCGGTCGCAGGGCGCGAGGTTGGCGCGGGGCAGGCAGCCTGAGGATCGAGGAGGGGCCGGGGCTAGGATACCACAACGCAAGAAGGCGTCAAGCCGACGTTCGCCGAGAGCAAGGTGGACTGGAGGCATATGCCCGTACCTACAGTCGAACTTCAGAGGACAGGACACGCGAGAGGGCCGAGGGCCACACTGCCACAGGAATGTAAGAGGCATGGGTCGCGAGACACAGGACACAAGAGTACCCTTGATTTGGCAAGGTCGATCTACTAATCCGGGGCCGACTGTAGAGAGCAGAAGATCCATCCTCATAACAAGCACCCCGACAAGCGAAACTGTGAAACAAACGCACCCGAGGATTTCATCTGGATGCGTAAAGATGTGTACAAAGCCCCACAACATATGTTGTCCAACACCGACAGCGGCCGCTGTTGGGTAGGCGGCTTTTTGTCTTCAAAGAGTAACGCCCGCGGCGGCGCGGACAGCGATTCCTGTTCAAAGTAATCAGGAAACCCTGTTGGGCATCGTACCCGTGCTTTCCGTACCCATGTTGATCGTCCCGGAAAGAAACCATCGAACAGGACATGGCTGTCTAGTAAACGCCCAGGGCCGTCTAGTGAACGCCAATTATAGAGGCCTCCCAGATGGGGTCCGAGTAGATGGGGTTGGAGGATCTCGCCGCATCGCCGATACATCGGCGATGCACTGGCGACGTCGGCGGTGCATCGGCGACGTCGGCGTGGAGAAAATTGGGCCCCACATCGAGCCGCATCGCCGATGTATCGCCGATGCATCGGCGATGCGGCGCGACCCTCCGACCCCATCTGCTCCGACCCCATCTAGGAGGTCTAGAAATTATGGGGGTTGGGGTGGTTTGTCCTCCCCCGTCTACCCTCCGCCCGCCAGATCGATACCGTCCCCGGCCAGCCCGGCGCTGCGGCAAGTGGTGGGATCGCTTGGAAGAGGCGGTGGCCCCTCGTGAAGCACTCGGTCATGTGCTGACCCGGCTGGAGTGGCATGGGGAGGTGGGGGATGGGGGACTATGCTCGGACCTCGTACAGAATAACATCCCTCAAGAACACGAGACCCTCTTCTGGTCAAGGTGAAGAACCTTCGCGGGTACCCTTCCCCAGGATGCACAAGACACATCCAACAGGCACGAAACACATCAGGGTACCTTCCCCGACCCGATCTCGCTCTTCCATCTCGGTCCGACCGTAGGGGATGGGGGACAACGCAGGTGAGGGCAGGGAGGGGGAATCGGGGAACCGGGAAGGTCGGGTGCGAAGTGCTGCTTGCTCAGGATACAGAGGACATGAGAGAGGCAGGGGCAGGCTGGGTGCGTTCGAGCCATCTCTCGCATCCTATCCCTCTCACACACATACCTTCCCGTTGCGCTGGTTAGTTGTCATCCGCCAGCAGGTGCCCCTGCAGACATGGATACCCTACGTAAGTGGCCCCTTCGTGCGGTGCGTAATCAGAGAAGTGAGCTGTGCACATGGAAGGAGGAAAAGGTGGATGAGCAGGAGCAGGGGCAGCAGGAGGTGACGAGAAACGAAGAGGATAGGTGGCGAGAAACGGAGAGAATGAGCAGCAGCAATAGAGGCAGGAGGAGCGGGAAAAAAGCAAGAGGATCGGTGCCAGGTTCAAGAGGGAAAAGAGGAAATGAATGTGGCGACAACGAAGAGTATGGACTGCCCTGGTCCCGGCCCTGTGGCCCCCAGCCTTGAGCAGGGACCCACCGTCCCGGCATTCCTATAGTCCTACCACGACATGCTCTCAGAACCCAAAACTGTTTTAATAACACAAGCAATGTTCTTAGAGCATAAGACACCATGTGTTAAAACAGTACAGTACCAGCCAGAAATGCTCTAAGAACATGCCGGGGAACCACAAAAGGTTTTTATAACATTGCCTGGTAGGACTATAGGCACGCCAATACGCTTCGCCACTGCTTGACAGCCTCCGGCTCCGGCCCCGACCTCAACCCTGGCCAGCCGGCACCGCCGTCCCCTGCCCCGCCGGCACCGCGGCCCTGGCTCTGCAGCCCCCGTCCCGGCCCCGGCCGCGCCCAGGCCCCAACCCTGGGCCCTGGGGCCCCGGGGCTCCGCGGCCCCGGGGCCCTGGCCCCGTCGCCTCCCAGACGCCAGCCCCCGAGGAGACACATGGCTCTCCCCCTCCTCCTCCTCCTCCTCCTCCTCCTCCTCCTCCTCCTCCAACTCCTCCTGCTCCTCCTCCTCCTCCTCCTCGTCCGTCTCCTCCTCCAACTCCTCCTGCTCCTCCTCCTCCTCCTCCTCCTCCTCCTCCTCCTCCTCCGCCAACTCCTCCTGCTCCTCCTCCTCCTCCTCCTGCTCCTCCTCCTCCTGCGCCTCCTCCTCCTCCTCCACCACATTCTCCTCCACCTCCCTCCATTGCCCACCAACATTTCCCGAGTTTGTGGCAGTGTCATCAGTTCGTCCTTATCATTGTCGTCGTGGTCTTCGTCGTCGTCGTGATGTTCGTCTTCCTTATGAGTGGGCTGCGCCAGCAGCAAAGCCTTCATAATCTTGACACCCTGTAATTGCAAAGTACTCGGGAGAGGCAGGGCCGCAGCGGAGCAGACTCATGAGAGGAGAAGAAGCTGGTATTCACAGTGACTCCGTGCGGAGGAGGGGAAGCGGAAGAACGGACGAGGGGAAGAGGAGGAGGAGGAGGAGGAGGAGGAGGAGGAAAAGGAGGAGGAGGAGGAGGAGGAGGAGATGGGAGAGGCATGGTGCACCCCGTCGCCGCCGAGGAGCCGCCGCCCGAGGGGCCGCCGCCGAGGGCCGCCGCCGAACGGCCGCGCCGCGCTCTCGCGGGGCGTCCCAGTCGGGCGCGCCGCCGCCGCCCCGCGAACGCGCGCGGCGCGCGGGGCGGCGCGGCGCGGCGCGACCGCTGCGCGCGGGGGGGGTCACGAGGCGCCTCGCGGCGCCAGGGCGGCGACGGCGATGCCGACGACGACGCCACCGACGGCGACGGCGCCGCTGGCGGCGGCGGCGGCGACGAAGGCGGCGGCGTCGTCGCTTCGGAGGCCTCTCCGTGCGGGGCTCCAGAGGCTCTCGTCGCCACGGCCGCGCGGAGCCAGGAAGATGGGCCAGGACGGACTCAGAGGGGGGGTCGGGGTCCCGCTTGGAGCGGGTTGTGGCATCGGCGCTGGCGACGAAGCCGACGCCGACGACTGCGGCGGCGGCGAGGACGGCGACCACCCCTCCCAGCCTGAATGCCAGCCTTCTCCTCCAGCCCCCCCTCCCCATCCGCTCCCAAGCGGGGGTGTATGAAGGGGCCCTCTGCCTGTCCAGCTGATGTGATCGCTCCTCCCCTTCCTCCTCGGACTCCTGCCCCACTGGTGATCGGGGGGGAGCAAGAGAACAGGCAGAACAACAATCGTCAAACACATAACTTTCGAAGGCGGGTTCCTTGGATCAGCACTGGTCGCCCTGGCGCGCGGAGCGCACGAGTGGCGGCACCGTCAGATTGGCCCAGCGCAGATCAAGAAAAATCCGCAGGGACCTGCGAATGTTTATGATTACGGGCAGTGCGTGCCGTGACGACACCAGCGTTGAACGACCAGCGCTATCGGCCGCTTGTCGATCGCCAGACCTTTCCACTTTGCCGGGTCGGGCGAAAGGGGGGATAGCAAAGGGGGGGTTCGAGAATCGGCTCGCGTAGCTGATTTTCCGGGCGCCTCCCGGCGCCAGAGGCGCCCATGTATCGAGGCATGGGCCCCTCGGTGGGGCCGAAACCAGCTGCATGCAGCAGATGTCGTAACCCCCCCTTTCCCAATCCCCCCCTTTCGCCCGGCTCGGCTTTGGCAGGAACAAACGTCCTTGACTTGGAGCATCGGACCCGGCTCGGATGGCGCGTCAGATCGGGCCGCAGCGGCACGGGCTCGGGACCGCATCTGATCGGCTGCAGCAGGATGCACCACAACGCCGTGTGCGCGCCGGGTCGCATCAAATCTAGGGCGAAAACAAACCTACAAGAGATACCAAACGATGCCAAACTACGGCCTGTACTGGTCAGGCCGCTTGACGAGGAGGCGCGTGGTATGACTTGGTTTTGCCTGGAAGCGAAAGCGGGGTAGGTAATTCACGCTCCGAAAATCACCCGACAATCGGAATCGAATCGGATCGCGCCGGCCGGAGCAGATACCGAAGCGGATCGATCGGATCGGGATGGGCCCTGCGTTGGCCGATTCTGGGCCGCTGGCGTCGTTCAGCCTTGCACGCCCGCGCCCCCTGCCGCCGCCGCGTCGACAGGAACCGACCATCTGGAGGTCTCTCTCGAGGGGGGAGGATGAAGGATTG